ACAGGCTTACATATACTGATATACTAATAATGTGTATAAATAATGTATATTATATCGAGATTAAAATTAAAAATGTATGTTATCGGATGGTCTGTAACACTGTAAACAGTACCTATGTAGTTCATAATATCTATATCTAATAATAATTATAGCATTATTGTTATGCTCATGAGATGAGGTCGGATCTTATCGATTATTGTTTAATTATAACATTTCTTTTTGTACCCTACTGAAGTACTGCTTATCAATTGTATAATATATACAAAACGCACTAAACGACAAAATATTGAAGAGAACCATTCATATGTAGAGCTATGGAATATATTAAAAATTTAAAAATGTAATTAATAATGTATAAAATATCTTAAAATAAAATAAAAGATTTGTTTGTAATTTAATAATATTTATTTATTGTTGTAGTGTAACCTTTGTTGAATTTTAATGATTGTTTGATTTGTGTTGAAAATACTACATGGGTGGTGTGGGGGGCGAAGCCCCCCACGGGTTAGTTTGGTTTAAATCATTGAGTGGAACGCTAAATTTTTATAAGTCCTTTAGCACCCTTTCTATTTTATTTCCAATTCGAGCACTGGGTACAGGTATGTTTATGATATTAATAATATTAATGCAAAAAATGCTGTGACGTTACATACTACATAGGTATTTAAAAGTAGTATTCTCATTTTATGCATTCTCTCCAAATTGTCAAGCGAGGAATGTGTTTTGAACATAACTTACTTTTACAAATATTTTATTACCAGCAAGAACTTCAGTCTGAACAAATGTAAAAGGCACTTATGTACAGATGTTAAAGTGGGGGGGAAGCAGGAGGACTCAATCCCCCTACCTCTGACCATTAGACATTAGGTATACACAAAATTATATATGGAACGCTTAAATCTATATGGAGACATTTGTCCCCTCTGGAATTTAAAAATAATCACGATATTCATTGAAAATGTTGATATAACTATAGCTTCGAAAATTTTTTATAAAATCCGTAAAATAGTATGATAAAATTTGTTTTTTAATCATGTAAAAACTGCACAACATTTAATATGTACGAGACACGAGTCAATGGGGGGGGGGGGGGGGGTCCGGACCCCATGGACCCCCCCGTAAATACGCCACTGACTCGGATAGTATTTAATTCTAAGTAAACTGACATTTTAATGCCATTTTTAAAAATCTTCAATTAAAGTATTAAAAAGAGCATTCCGATCCGCATATTATTATACCATGGCAATCATTCGAATATATTTATACGACGCTGAATATATTATACAAATCGTGATCGTTATGTATTTTAAAAATTTAATTTAGAAGACCGCATAAAGTGAAAGCTTAGCTACTTAACACGCTGAACGATTAAAACGATTTATTAATTAAATTTAAATTATTTTATATGTTATAAGTTATAACAGCATAGGCGCAAATAGGGGGGGCTTAGGGGGTATTAGCACCCCCAATTTTAAAATTAGCACCATCTAATAAATATGTGTTTATGTATCAAAACTTCTCTTTACAACAAAAAAAAAAACCAAAAACAGTTTATCATCAGACATGAGGGTATCAGAGTATAATGAATGAAACAATGAACTCGACAATTGTAATTTTATCGAATTCAAATCTATTTAGAATATAAATCATTATTTTCCAATGTTTCTACTAAGCCCGGTCGTTGTGGTCGGTTATATTATTATCAGTGTTATCCCGTTCAGCAGCGACTCAGCTCTACGACAATTTATAGTATCGCGAGTATTTACTAATAGCATTGATTTTATAATATATTATAGCATATATTATAAAATCAATGCTAATAGAAACATTCCAGTGCCCACATCTAATTCGGACAAAAACCTAATTACGATATACGAATTACTTGTCAATTGGTGTTCACTGGAGTTCCAAGTTTCCGACAGCCTGTGTGATTGTGTATGCCGAATGATATAATATAGTAGGTACAGATATAACTGACTTTTGGAATAGGTAACTTTTGTTCTAATCAATATTTATTATGTTTTTTTATAATTTCAACAATTTTTGTCACACATTTAAGTAGCTTAATTTTTTTTTTTTTTGTCAAGTCTGTCTCTTACACGCCTTGTACACTAATATTTATTTGTCATATTTTTTGAATAAAATATAAATAATTTGTTTTAAATTTTTAATAAATTAAAATTTACTATTGTATTAATTTTTATAAAATGTACCTAGGTAATGCACTATAACTATTCAATGTTAAATTGTCATAAAACCATTTTTTCTCAAAAAAGTCATAAGTGCCTCATAGGTATAATTTAATTTAAATACCCAGGAAATGCAGAGCTTAAGCACTCTCAGTTTTTATGTTGAAATTGCGCCTATTTATAACAGTTTATATATTATTCTCGTTGTGGTATCTGAACTCTTATAATGTATAATGTATTCTGTTCATTAAGCTCAATCGATTACACCTAATTAATAACTTTACCCCAATACATATATTATGCATAATAGTATTTTATATACTTACGTATATATCATACGAACATTACTGTGAATAAGATTTAAAAACAGCTAGACTATAAGTAAGTATATCTCAAACGTATCATAGATTAAATTGTTAACCTCTGGGATTGACATTTTTCGATTACCGAAAAAAAGTATCGGTAAAAAATCATAATACCTGTATTTATAATTATTTAGTATTTTTTAAACTATAAGCCCAGTATTACTCATAGACTTCACTTCTCTCTAAAATATATTAAATAGTGTCGGTATAATATTTATTAAATTCTTATTTTTATATAGTATATATAGGTATTCGTATTTAGATATAAACGATTATACGAACTAGAGTTATAATCATCGATATGTACCCTACGTTTTTTTTAAGAAATATAAAGAACAATATTGTTCATAAAATTAAAATATCAAGGAAAAACCGGTGAGTCTCGGCAATTTTAATAAATGCCATATAATGTAGTTTATAGTATTTTGTAAATATATCAAATGTATATAATCAGGTACTCACAGTATGTACAGTAATATATTGTATAATATATATATACCATATTTACTATACTATATGCCAATTTGTTTAAGGTATTATTAGGTTATATATTTCTTTTTCTGTCCTTTTAAAACACCATTACTGTGTATATAGGTACCATCACGATTCACGAACCTCTATAATATAGGTAAACACGATTATATTCCTGTCGTTGAAATATCGTAAAAAATTACTAGTGCGGAATTATCGACGTCAGTAAATTTAAACTATTATTCGAATGAAACATTTTCAAACAAAACCGTATTTAAACGCAAAGCGAGAAAGGATGAATATTTTAAACAAAAAAGTTACTACACAGTACTCAAAATAAATTGTCATTAGATTAAAAACGATTAAAAAAATAAAAGTAAATAAACAAATAAAATCAAAACACACACATTGCACATGGACAGTATAGACCACTTGGACGGATGCACGCTGCAGTTATATTAGATTTTAAAACGATGATTCATCATATATTTTGAAAACCGATTCTGAGTGAAGCTCGTTAAATTACAAACAATATCATACATATTGCATTTTGCGTTGACAATTTTACGAGCGAAAAAATACATAACTTATACGATAATTGAAAACAATAACACTCTGACAAAATAATATGTCAGTTAGGGTTAGACTAGTTTTAAAAATAATCTGCATATTATCGTAAAATGGCAAACCTCAAAAGTTTTTTAAAAAAATAAAACGGAAAAATACATTTTTATATTGGTTTTAACAGTTATATTTTTACCCATTATAAAACATGAAAAATATCAGATCACACTTAAAATTTAGTAATTTTGAAAATGCCATTTATTTGAACATCTAAACACCTATATATCCTTAAGAAATTGTTGATAATGTCAAATATCGCTTTTACACATGAGTTTGGTTGGATCATATTTGTGGATATTGTGGGGGAGACTTGTGGGGAACACCTAATAATTGATATACAGTATAAACAATACACATTTCTATGTGTCTTACTGAATACCACGACGTATATAATTATGAATGATATAAAAAATGTGTTATCAAAATCAAATGTGTTTTTGGTGTCTTTAACAGGGACTGGAACCGAACCTAAAAGAACCGGAACCTTTAAAATATTATAAGAACCGGAACTGAAACCTTTATTTTAATAAATAAAGTACCAGAACCGAACCAGAATTTTTAAATATACTATAATAGGTTCTTATTAGGTTTAAAAATAAAATAATTGTATTTATCATAATTTAATGGTATTACTGTTTTGTGTATAAACTACCTATGTATGATAATGTGAATTTTCTAGTATATTGCTCTTACTATTAATTAATGGCGTACAATATACCACAATTTTTATATTGAAAAAATCAATTGAAACTTATTGATACAAATAAAATATTAAATACATATTTCACATAAAAAATTGATTTATAATATTAAATAATATGTACAAAAATAGTAAATATTATATACAGCGTTATGATAACAAATTATTATATAGGTACATGGAAATAAAATTATATGTAAAAAATAGTAAATACTGTTACATGCGGCCCTTCAGGGATCCAAAAGCTTGTTGCACTTTTACAATAAAATGTAGTCAATTTAAATATAAATCAATTGTAATTTATTAAAACCAAAAATAATTAATATAGTCGTGGTGAATTGCAGCGTCGCGAGTTGACTCGTTGTAGTAGTCGATAATCTCCATGTAAGTCGTGTGTAATGGCTGGTGGCTAAGCGGCTCGCTCGGTCTTGGCGGCTCTGGTACATCTACTTTGGCTGTCTCGCTGTCCCCTATATATATGGTGGCGGCGTCCTTTGAAGTGAGCGGCGCGTGTACAGTCGTCGTTGATATGGACCTCACGACTATGAAAGTGGTATTCTTAGTCGAAAACACTTTTGGGTGTGGTCGCATTCCTGGTTGTTTTTATGAGCAAATATATGATATTGCGTAATCCCATTCCTGGTTGTTATTATGAGCAAATACATGATATTGCGTAATCCCAAATACAATACAACAAAGTTCCACAGTAACGGCCGGCTAGAAGGAGCGTCGGTGAATAAACGCACCAAGCGCAGTTTAACGTCGAACGAACTAGCATTTTTACAAACCGTGGACGACAAGGTCGAAGCAGCACATTTACAAAGGACTCTGCCCACGGTTCCAAGAAGTAAACCAAAATTTGAGATCAGTGAAGAAAATGTCGTCTGTGCGGAGAACGCTACGACGACCTGCAGAAGGTCAATCCTGGAACGGCCACTCCTGTGCAAGTCTTGACGTGTAAGTCTACTATCGACCCTGGAACGCAGGTAGTACCAAGTAGAAACAAGAACGTGGTTAAGAATTATGGTAGAGTATTCCTCTGAAACGCTTTAACCGAAGCCAAGCGAGTGGCGGCCGTGCGGTGGTCGCTAAACTTCGTGTTCACTGTCGCTTTACCACGGCCGATCGTCATAACGACCTGCCAGATTGCTTCTCTGGGGCCTGTCCCGGTGACGAGGATATTGCCACCACAGTCAATAGAAATCTTCAACGTCGTTGAAGGAAGGTCAGTACGACCGGAGGCCTTGTCAGCCGATGACGACAGCGGGGACCAGCTAGAAGGAGCGTCGGTGAAAAAACGCACCAAGCGCAGGTTAACGTCGAACGAACTAGCATTTTTACAAACCGTGGACGACAAGGTCGAAGCAGCACTTTTACAAAGGACTCTGCCCATGGTTCCAAGAAGTAAACCAAGACTTGAGATTACTGAAGAAAATGTCGTCTGTGCGGAGAACTCTACGACGACTTGCAGAAGGTCAAATCCTGGAACGGCCACTCCTGTGCAAGTCCTGACGTGTAAGCCTACTATCGACCCTGGAACGCAGGTAGTACCAAGTAGAAACAAGTACGTGGTTAAGAATTATGGTAGGTAGAATATTCCTCTGTAACGCTTTAACCGAAGCCATGCGAATGACGGCCGTGCGGAGGTCGCTAAACTTCGTGTTCACTGTCGCTTTACCACGGCCGATCGTCATAACGACCAGCCAGATTGCTTCTCTGGGGCCTGTCCCGGTGACGAGGATATTGCCACCACAGTCAATAGAAATCTTCAACGTCGTTGAAGGAAGGTCAGTACGACCGGAGGCCTTGTCAGCCGATGACGACAGCGGGGACCAGCTAGAAGGAGCGTCGGTGAAAAAACGCACCAAGCGAAGGTTTGCAGCTTTTAGAAGGAGGCTTCTTAAAATTGGCCGAAGGTTGTGCTGTTGGTATGCTGCACTTACAGTGGATTAAATTTGGTGTGGATAGAAAACTGTCCACCCTAAATGGTATTTATCTACCAAGTTGAAACGGTGCGTCCGATTGGACGACCCGTGTCGTAAATAAAATAACAATTGTGTGCTCGATAATCAAGTTTTTCTATTGCTTGGTTAAATTATAATTTATATTTACAATGTTGGGACAAGTAAAGCGTCGATTTGTGCCGACCGGACTTAAATAAGTGAGTCGGCACAATCGGAGGCGCTTGGGTATTGTGGTCGGACAATTGTCGGACCCTATCTTCACAAGTGTTTTTATAACGATTTATATAAGTTATACAATATGATCGGCTAGGAAGCCGGCCGTCGTCGGTGCAGACTTAAGTCAAGCGGCACCCCGACGACGAACCAGACTTGGGTCGGATAACTTAATTAAGTGCCGAGGTTGGGGTCGTGGTGGCCCTGAAAAGGGCCTTTTAATGTTGTCACGCCGTGAGTGGTCGGCCTATCCGGTGATCCCGTAGGCTGGGGTGGTTGAGTGGCGGTCGGGCGGCCTCGTCACGGCAAGAGTACACTGACACTGGTCTCTCCCCGTTGAGCGGCAGTCACGGGGTCGGTTGGTCCTGACGATGATGGCGTTGTTGATCGACCGATCTTTGCGCCCGTAGATAGGTGGTCGACGGGTCGTTATTGTTCGGCAGTTGAATGACGTTTACAGCCGTGGAGCGGCGTCGTTGTCGATATGCGTCGGTATGATGATATACGCAATCGGGAACGGCGGTGGTCTGCGGTTGAATGGCGCTGGTAGCCGTGGAGCGGCGTCGTTGTCGATATGCGTCGGTATGATGATATACGCAATCGGGAACGGCGGTGGTCTGCGGTCGAATGGCGCTGGTAGCCGTGGAGCGGCGTTGTCGTCGGTCTTCGGCGGTCGATTTCTGGTCCTGGTCTTCTTGCTATCGGAACGTTTCTTGGAGATGTTGATAGTTTGAAGGATTGAAGTGGACTCTCTAGATTATTGCTATTGCTATGAGTGACGGCCTGTGGCCTAATGGGAAGTACCAGACTTATGTCTTTGTCTTCCTGTATGATGTAATTCTCGGAGTTTTGGCTTGTTTATTTAGGTGTTATTTTTTGAAGTAGAAAGGTCTTGATTTACATATAGGGTCTTCTGGGTCTGGTACTCCTAATTTTTGAATGTGTGGGTAGAGGGATCTTGTGTTTTTATTAAACATTATCGTAGTGGCTTTCCTGGCATCTTCCTCTATTGACGGGATTTTTGTTATTGCGAGTAAGGATTTGTTTGACTGGTATGGTGGAATGGCTGTTATTGATCTTAGTCCTACGTTCCTTCTCTAGATTGTCGAGAGTGTCCGGTATTTATACCCTTTTCGACAATCTAGTCCATCGTTGATTGGTCCGCGTACTATGTTTTAGACGAGTGAAAATCACACCGTTGACCGGACATTCCTATCTATTATGTGTGATTTTCACTCGTCATATCGTGTCCTTTTGTCAATCGTTTTTACTTGGTGGGTGTTTGTTCCGTAACAAAGTGTATAAAGCTCTTGAATTGTTTCTCAAGGTATAGTTTTAAGACATTATGTTAGTTATATTACTTGCCCAACAGATTTATATTTAATATTTTGTACCCATATAATATTTTCCATGGGCGACACGGTTTGTTAAAATGCTAGTTCGTTCGGCGTTAACTGAATATCATTCATGTCTGCAATATTTTGTTCTGTGTTGACGCATAAATCCAAATCTGTTGCGATTAGGTTATTTTGTTGAAAATTATCCATCATCGCAATACATATTAAATCAAACTTGACGCGTTGATATAATAATAATTTAATGACACGAGAAAATCGGATTATCAAATAACAATGCGATGACGACTCAATCGATTTTCGTGGCAACGAAATATAATAATATTATACGGCCAACAAATTATTATTTTTTTCTTCATAAACGTTATAGGTACTTATCTATATATAAAAATGGAGACAAAAATTCGAAATTGCATCAGTTGAGAACGGCTGGGCCGATTTTGCTCAAGTTTTTTTTAAGATGTTCGTAATTGTCAGGTGAAGGTTTTTATGAAAGAAAATTTTTAAAAAGTCAACCGAGTAATTAGAAAAACTGCAAAAACTATTTATTGATGTCTGGGATTTGAACTCGATACCGTTGTCTTTATTTACTCTATGGTGTATTATATTATATTGGTTGCTATTGGTTAATCGGGCATGTTTTTTGATTTGTATTATTATTTTTTGTAAATATATCTTATATATAAATGAATGACGGTGTGTAGATTAGACCTATGGGAAGAAGATACGCTAATTTAAAAAGGGTTAAATTTGGTTTTTTTATTCATCGGATTTTAGTACGGGGTTATGTTAGGTTAGGATTTATAGGTAGGTGGAATTAAGTAAAAACGTCAAACTTGGAATAACTTTGGTACTTTTTGAGTTAAATCATACACTTACGTACAAACAGCACGGGGTCCGCGATCTACCGCAGGTAAATTACCTATCTGATAATGTATACTGCTGTAATTCAGAATTTTTATTCCGGGCAACAGAAAAGTTAAGATAAATCTAGAACATCATAGTACACCGAATATTAAATAACGCATTGAACAATGTTTGAGTCATATAGAGTTGGTACATTTAACGGGAAACGAAGTGCACGGGATCAGCTAGTATTATATAATTACTTTTAAACTAAAATTTTAAAATAGTACAAACGCTGACTGGTATAATCCCGAAGGTAATCCTATGTATATAGGTGCGCTCACTTAAAACAGTATACCTTTATTCACGAAAATGTCCCCGATTTCAGATTTGTCCATGTCCAATATGCAATACATAATATTTTACTATATTAGTGAATACTGAATATAGGTAGATGAATGATAAACGTATGTAGGTACCTACATATTTTTGTACATAGAGTATCACCTATTTTATATGCAGAAGTCCACCTATTAAGGTATTCATTTTGTGTGAATTAATAGACAATATACCGTCCTTGATCCACCAAAAAATAAAGTATTGCGTAAACGCGTGCCGTACGTCGAAAATGGATGAGTACCTATCTAATAACAAGTAAAACGTTCAATCGCCTATGCTACGCGTGTTAAATTTCGATACGGTTTATCCCCTCACCCGTTCCGCTCGCCCAGTTCCGCGATGTTTCATGCGTACGCGCTTGTACCGCGCTCGAATATTATTAAAACAATCATTTTATATTGGCTTACATTTATGTGTTTCATTTAATATTAATATAAATAATTTTAAGAATCTTTCTACTTTTAAAAAATATATGAAAAAATTAAATTTAGATGCACGGGATCAGTTATTTATTATAATATTTTAAACCATATTACACGCGTGTATTATTAGTACCTAGGTCTTTATACCTATTAGTTATTATTATATTGTTATGTTTGAGATTTTTGGTTGAAAAATAATCAGTTATCAGCTAGGTACATATAGTGCTTTGATTATAATTGGAACAATAAGATATTTTAACAATATATTCGCCATATTTTGTAATGCGATTAATAATTGGTATTTTGGCCGTATTGATATCGCTATGTTTACTGAAGCAAAAGTTTGAAGTAGGTATCATCCACCCGATCAAAAGTAAAATAATAAAATACACTTCCAAAATTGACTAATTTTACTTTACTAAATACTTACATTATTTTCACATATATTATTCGGATTATCGTTGTAACTATAATGCTAAACCTAACCTTGATTTACAGAATAAAATCGGTTGTACCTACCCGTAGGTACGTTGTTTGAATGTGTTTGTTTTCTAAGTAGAGTTAAGAAGACGCTAGGCACCCATACATTTGTTGTCTCCGACCTCCACACACACGACATGGAAAATTGTCGTTCTCTATAGTTTCAATAGTGTGCTGTTAGTTTTGATACAAGAGTGGATTGACCTTTAGGTATAGTATATAACACTTTTTATAATAATTATCAAACAACAGTTTATTGAACGTAGGCACGAGGCACCTACTTACTTAAAAAAACAGCATACAGTCTTGTAAAAAATACTTTTGAAAAATTATTAAGATACTAATACCAGTATTCCAATACAAAAGTATTTAAAATACTATTATAAAAATGTATTTTGCGAATACTCACAAAGTATTAGAATACAAATACAAGTATTTATAATACTTAGTATTTTTTAAATTTTATCCAATATAATATATATATGTATATTGTACTTCAGTATACCTACCTATTATGTATTACCTATTTACCTACTACTTACCATAGGTTTTAACAATTACTATCACACGTCTGACTATTTAGAGATAAATACATGTTCACATATTTCAATCTGCATTCAGATATATTTCAATTAATATTGATTGAATTGTAACGAAAAAAAATAAAATAAAAAGTCTTATTAACTATTTATGATATGGAACTATTTTAAAGTCATTAGATCGTCAGTTTTCTCAAAAAATTCCAAAACAGAAACCGTATTAATTTAATAAAACTGACTTTATGGTATTTTAATACAAGTATTTAAATTTTGTTAAAAATACTTTTAAAAAAAAGGTGCTCTGGTGTACAGTCGGTTACTAGTGGGTCACTGTATAATGGATGGTATTAAAATTGAATTCAATGATATAATATCATTGTATAAGAAAAAATGATTCTGAGCGAAAGCGGTTTGTCAGCCTGTATATTACGAAGTATATTTGATGATACTAAGGTGAATAAAGTAATTTATATACGTATAACTTATTTACGTAGAATCATGTTTTAAATTTTCAATCATTAGCTATAAAAGTTGAACATTTTATACATTTTTAACTACAAAATTATTATTAAATTTTAAATATGATACATTTTTCAAAATTCGAACTTTAAATGCTTATAAAAAAAAATTGTTTCTATGTATTTTTAATACTTTTTAAATGATATTGTATCAATATATCAGGAGCTATGCATTAAATTTTCACTCTTTTTTACAAAACAAATAAAATTTTAATGA